TGTTATCGATGCATTTCTCCCGGCATGGACAAGAATAACTTGATCAACGATCAAGAGTTTTTTCTCCTGACTGTTATCGATGCATTTCTCCCGGCATGGACAAGAATAACTTGTTCAACGATCAAGAGTTTTTACATACATAGGTTAATTGACCACTCCCCATAGGGGCTTTTCAGGGCCAACACCCACCCATCCCACCTAGGGGAGGACATCCACCACACAATAATCTCGTGCGTGGGAAATTAACGTCTCCTACCCCTAACCCTACATGAGACGGGGCCTACGGTTTATTCGTCCTTATCCGAGAAGACTAGAATATCTATCCATTTCTTGATTATAGAAAGGCAGCAAATTCTCCTCACTTATTTTAAGACCATGAGTATTGGTCGGGCCGGGGCTCGAACCCTCGACCTCCCGCACTCCAGAATCCGACGCTCCAGAATCCGACGCTCTAACCAATACAGTACGTGATCATCCCCTACACTCACGTCACCTTAATGTTTGAGAATTCAATAATAATACCGTTGGGGGAAATAAAATGCTAGTCTCTATGGGGCAGGCTCGATTTCCGTAATCGAACCTATCTATAGTTTTGAAGACAGGGCTCGACACTAACGGTAGCCAACTAGCCACAGACTAGTAGAAATTCAGTTTTGGCTAGTGGTTTTCGATCTCCACAAGCCAGTTTGGCTAGTACCACAAACTTAAATTGTCATAACATCTAAGTTGTCACTAGCCACTTGGCTAGTAAGTTAAAAAGTGAGTGTCGAGCCCTGTGAAGTGCGAAAAGCACTAGTTCGCGCTACTCAGTGTCTTTCAAAGTGTTCAACTTCGTTCCCAGGGTCTCTCATCTTCCCGCCCCCCTGGAGCGAGAAAAGAGAGACCCTGGGAACGAGGTTGCAAAGAGTTCACCTACCAGTTTCTCCTCCTCCGCTTTCCTCTTTTTCTCGTCCAAAACTTTCTTTCGCTCTTGGCGTTTCTGAGCCCGTTCCTCCATGGCTTGAAATGAAGCCAAGTTAAATTAGTATTGGTCGTTGCTTAGATATAATCTAGTTATGAAATCATTATTCAAACTTTGTCGAGAGAACCATAATCAACAAGGTTTTGTCTTTTGATGCATTACTATCAAAATATGACTTTTACATCGTAATAATAATAATAATAATAATAATAATAAGAAAAAAAACATTGAGGATTGAAACGATAAAAGATAGAGAAATTACCTTTTTAAGGAGGTAATGTTTGCTTATTGTAAATGAGTCGAGATTCAGGTGAATTTGTTGACTATTTCATACTACACAGGCGAAGAGTACTTTTCACGTTGGTTTCTTGGCTCCGGGCTAGAGGCGATACTAGGGCGGGATATTCAGTCCTCGGTTGCCAGAATACATGTATGCTATCATAACATGATGCAAAATATGAGCCGTACGTCTTTGAGATTTACAACTTACCCAGATGTAACGGTCTTGTGGTTGGCTTCTGTGATTTGACAACGGCTTCTCGTGAAGTGTATTTATTAGGCACAGAGGATCTGCCATTGTCCAATGAAGCACTACTAACTGACCGCCCTGTTAAAACATGTTCTCTAGATTCCGTCTCTTGTGAATCAAGTCTTTCATCAGATTTACTCTTTGAAAAACCAGGATAGGATTTCTTATCTTCACTGCTCACTTTTTCTCTATTTTTATTTGTAGCATGAAGTGTTTCAATGTTCTCCACCTCACTGTAACTGCGTTGTCGATTTGATTTATTCCTAATTTCTTTGCCTGTTTGGAATTCTTTCCTGTGTAGCTCCTTTTTCTGTTGCTCGCTCCAAGCTGGTTTAATTATTGGTGGTTTATCACTAAGTTTAGTCTTTCTTGATGAAACCTCCTCTGTATCTTTAAGATTTGTTGTGGAATGTTTCTGGGTGACCATCCTTGTAGGTTGTGAAAACATTTCGTCCTAGCGAATAAAAATAACAGTCGTAATTGAATTCCATATCTAAATGCACCACCACTCGCGAATTAAGGTACGGTTTACATCCCCTTTTTCATTGTTGCCATTTCGTTCCCTAGATCTTTATGTCACCGCTGGAAGTCTTACCAGTTTCCTTGCAGTGCTTGAGCTCTGCACATCTTTGTCATCTTCGATGTCTTGAAGTTCCAGCCCCATACCAGTGCTTCCCCCGCGCTCACTCCACAATCTGCCAGTAGCTGCTGCCTCCAGTAACGCTGCCATCTTTTGTGTCTTTTTTTCGTGTTCTTCCTGAAGCTGTCTTTTTTCTTGCTCTCTTTTCACCCACAGTTGCCATACCCGAAGGTAGCGTAGCAACAAATGACGACGATGAAATTTCAAAGACAATTGTTCCTTCCTGAAACGTTAAGGAAATATTTTGCCGAGAAATTTCTGTTATGGGGTAAGGAGTTTACGGTTTGGTAAAATTAACAGAAAAAGATTCTTCCAATCAAACTTGAACTACTTCTTCGTATGGGACCAGTGGCTAAAGTTTGAGAAGGAGTACCTGGAAATAATCTGCAAGCATCGCAAAATTACAAGTACCTGTGCTTTTCTTTCATCTCCATGGTGATGGTTCGAGCCTCCTTATCAGATCTGATGTGATTAACATAGGCCAGCCATGCATTCCAAGCTCTGAGTTTACAACGCCAGTCAGACATAGCTTTTGCTTTTCCGATTTTGATCCTCTGTGATGCAACAACTGAATACCACGCTGAGAAGTGTCGCTGGAGAATCTGATATCAAGAAAAAGTGAAAATAGTGACACTGATTTGGAAGATAGTATATATTTTATCTCTATGATGTCATTTTACCAAATAAGGCCGAGATTACGCGTTCAAATTTGATACCGTAAAATATCGTGGTATACCGATTTGACCGCTGAGAACACAGAAAAAGGAGCAAAACTGGTTGCACTGGACGTAAAACCATTGAGAAATACTCGTTTACAAGCCTGTCATTTATCTTTTCGCTTCATCCAATCAAACTGAACACATTTCACAAGCTCTGCTGTGTCAATCAATAGCTAGACTGAGAAACAATCCTTTCTAATAAAACTGACCACATTTCACTCGCTTTCTGTGCTATTTAAGTCATGAGATGGCCTGAGCAACATTCCTTTTCGTCTCCCTTGATCCACACCGGAGAACTACACGCGAAGCGTGAGCCCCACGAAAGCACATTTTGTTCGCTTTCGCCCTATGCCATCGGGAGACTCCCGCTGAACTCACGCGTCTTCATTTGACCAAAAAGAAAATGGAAAAGACCGCTACGCTGGAGAGTCGCAAGCACACGAGATATAACACTGAAAAGATAAAGCAGGGTGACACTTGGCAAGTTTACAAACTCAACTGAACACAACAATCTTTTAACAATTTCTTTCTATAATAAGACTCTACCCTCAGACTGTTGCTAGCTTCTTGAGCTGCCTTCCTCTCCATCTGCTCCAGCAGCATTCTTCTCATTTCCTCTTTTTCTTCTGCTTCCCTCCTCAGCTGCTGCTCCTTCTTTTTCTGCTCTTCCTCAAGATACTGTCGAGCCAGTAATTCTGCTTCCTTGTCTTTGCGCCACTCACTATAAAACAACAGCAACAACAATGACAACAAATTTGTGAAAAGAAGTTAGCAAAATTTCAAGTGGAGATTTTTAAGGGAGACTTGATCTTGGAAAATATTCATTAACCCTTCAACCAACAGAATATCTATCTCCTTACAATCTCAATACAATATCAAGCAAACAAGCAATGAGAATGAAGAAAAATATCAAATAGGGAATTGTTAGTTGATCCAATACCAAATTCTCCAAACTGACATCATAATAGTTTTAACGCAGACAGCAAGGAGAATTACTAACAACAACTTGGGAGTGAAAGGGTAAGAGGTAATCACTTGTGGACTAGGCAGTAAAACATTTCTGGACTAACTAGGCAGTAAAACACTTGTGGACTAGGCAGTAAATCACTTGTGGACTAGGCAGTAAAACACTTGTCTTGATCTGAAATAAATATTTAACCATAGCTAGCATGTATTAATTTAAAACTGGCTACTAAAAAGTATTCTCTGGAGACCACTGTTCAACTGTAACAACTTGAAATCTGCTAAAATAAACTTAAAACATCATTCAGAACAGGATCACATGCAATTTGTAGCAATGGTCCTTACCAAACACAAGCCTTCACTATGGCATTTGCTCTGATAGCGTAAATTTAACAATCAGATAACACCAACAATCAGTGCCTGCTTGTAGTGGTACATTTATTGTTACAGAAGATTTTAAATCAAAGCATTGCAAGCCAGCTCACCTGTCTAGTTTTTCCTTAGTAACTTTCTTCTCCTCTTCCATAGCTCTGCGGATCTTTGTCATTTCTTTTTGTATTTGTTCCTCTTCTCTTTTGAGTTTTGCTTGTTGTTCTCTTTCCTCCCTCAGCAACTGCTGACGAGCTTCTGCTTCAGCTTGCTTACGAGCTGTGTGTTCTCTTCTTTTCTTTTCTATATCCTTCTGTCTTGCTTGACTTTTTTCTTTAACCTAACAAAATGTTATAACTGTGATGCATGAAAAAATCATGTGCATCTGATTGGCTAAAAACCAGTGCATTTTTCATGTAATGCGAGTGCAAAGTTGTAACCCAACTGCAAATTACAAATAGCATGCATGCGCTGTCAAAAGTTTGTCTGTCTTGACTTTCTGTGATGCTTCTTTCATTTAAATTATTAACAAGTAACAATATGATTTCTTGTGCAAATTGGTGTAAATAGGCACTTGTAAATTTTCTTAAGACTTAACAAATGGTAAACACCACAGCGTACACTATTGAGTTATGGATGCACGCGGGAGGTTGCTAAGCACGAAAGAAGCGTAAGAGTCGCTCGAGGCGACAGCCGAGAGCGACTCTAGCTTCTTGAGTGCTTAGCAAACCTCCTAAGTGCATCCATAACTCAATAGTGTACGCTGTGGTGTTTACCATTTGTTTTATAACATAACATTGATACATTGTAGCTAAAGAGTTCCCGTTTATTTAACAAATCTTACGCGACCAGAAAAAACAAGCGCGCGCGGAAAAATAGTCTTTGCATTTGCTCACGTCAGCAGCGTACACCCATGGGCAAATGGGGAACGCTAAATTGACCAATCAGAGCGCGCGCTTTACTTTGGTTATGTTATAATACAAATTGGACTCACCTGCAGTCTTGATGTATTTGAAAAATTTGCTGATGCTTATTAACACCAAATTACACTCAAAATCATGTTACATTACCTCTACTTATATTTAAGCTCTTAGGAGTGAAGTTGTTCATAACTCTCCCTTTAAGTGACAGGTTTCATATTTAACAATTAAGAAATGGTTAGCTTGCAGCGTGCAACCATAGAGTTATGGATGCATGTGGGAGGTTGCTAAGCATGAAAGAAGCGTAAGAGTTGGACGAGGCAATAGCTGAGTGTGACTCTAGCTTCTTGAGTGCTTAGCAAACCTCCCAAGTGTATCCATAACTCAATGCTTGCATGCTGCATGCTAACCATTTCTTTTTTAACATTGAGACTTTCAAACATCTTTCGTTTCTTGTTTAAATATTTAATTGTTCAACCAGCTGATTAAGCTCCTGCTCGTGCAAGTTCACAAATCTCAAGCTCTAAGCTGGAGACCCAACAAAAACCTTGAGCTCGAAATTTGGCAGCTCACAAGAATTATCTTCCTTATCTCCGGAAAAATCACAAAATTTGTCCGTATTTCATGAGCAAAATACCTACAAAAAACAGGAATTACGTTGAATGTAGTGGCAACATCGATGAAAAAGTTGCCGTGACAAAAAAAAAGCAAAACAAACTGACGTCAGCATGCAACCCACGGGCAAATGGATCGAGTGTATGAGCCAATCAGAGCACACGCTTTTGTAAAGCCATGTTATAAATAAATATGTCTCTTGTGTTTTAAGTTTTTTCTTGGACAAAACACATTAAAGTACATTAAAAAAAAAAAGAGTGACTGATTTTTCTTTGCGTTGTACCATGACATAGGAGTTACAACACTCTCCACAAAAAAATTACAGGAATAATGTCTAGGGGGGATGAGTGGTGTCTAGGTAAGGGAATGAGAGAAAAACTGGTGTGCCACTCCAGAGGTCTATCATCTTAATTGTTATGTAAACTATTTTGTTATAGATTTTTGTATCTCAAAACTACTGTGTAAATTTCCAGCACCAATTAAAATTTAAAAAAACATTGTTGGCTGGTTTTGAGTTTTGGGTTCAATAAAGAAAATTGTGAAATATTTTCACCAGCACAAGATAAATTTAATATCCTTATTTATGGCACAGCCAGCTTAACTTTCTTTCATATTCAAAACAATGATGGTTGTACAGTGGTGATTATCAAAAGATTATCATCAGCTTAAGATCACAACTTCTATTATTTTGTGACTGATCCATACTGGGAAACACTGTACCTGTTTATGTCGGAGCTCCATCTTGGGCCTTGGGTCTTTTTTCTTTTTACTGCCATCAAATCCTAAGTCATTCAAGATCTCTTTTTCAACAACATTCTTGTCTAACATGTCTCTCAGTATATGCTGAACTGATATCTCATCACTCAGGTCTTCGTCATATTCTGCACCTACAAGCAAAACAAACATGACAACTGAAGTCTGCAACCTGAAAAAATTCATTATTTTCTAGCAAAGCTATGCTCAAAGAAAAATTGAAGGGAGCCCAATGCTCTGAAACTGTAAAATCCAGGGTGCCCAGCATACGCTTTTTATGAAAAAACTAAGATTTCTGAGTCGCCTAAGAGCAAATTTAAAGTAAGGTCCCAGTGGCCCCTGGGTGCTGCTTGACCACAGTCCTGTCCAGCAACAGAAATCTTTAATATTATATATCTGCTCAGTTTAATACCATCAATCTTTCATCACAAAGATATCTTACCCATAGCATTAGGAGCCCGGTTGTTATAGTAACTGTTCCTTGTTGACCATTCAGGTGACTGTAAGAACTGATCTGGCATATCCCTATAATCACTGTGATAATCATCAGTAGCAGAGTTTCTAGTGACCTGTTCTAAGGGTTTGGCTTGCTGTGCCCACTTTTCATCCTTAAATTTCACTTCTAAATTAAAATGATCATCTTGGTGTTTCTTTCCATGAAGCCAAGAATCCAATAAATCTTGTGCTGCAAGCAATGGATGAAATAGATAAACCTACTCTGAGTAGCAGCTCTGTGATGTAATTTTTTTTTTCCCACAACAACTTTATTCCAGTAATCAGTAATCAATAATCAGTAATCAAAGTTTAATGTCTTTACATGGGGCATGGTTACCCATATTGCCCGAGCCAGAGGCTCATGTATGAAACGCGAGACAACAACCCACCCCAGGGGAGGACATCCATCACACAGTAATCTCGTGTGTGGGAAATTAACGTCTCCTACCCCTAACCCTGCAGGAGACGGGACCTCCATTTATTCGTCCCTATCCGAGAAGACTAGAATATCTAACCATTTCTTGATGTTATAGAAAGGCAGCATATTCTTCTCAATTACTTTAAGACCTTGAGTGTTGGTCTTGCTGGTCCACAGTAAATTGAGTTAAGCATTTTACAAAAACAAATTTCACTTTCTTTAAATGTATGGAAACATAGAGCGATAGAAATAATAATGAAAAAAAATTGCCTAAAGATAGTCAACACTGCAACACATAATTTTATGATGATGAATGAGCTCTAGATAAGCCAGGGATACTCATGGATATATTATAACAAAATTCTGGCCCACTAAGATACATCAGAAAAGAATAATAAAAAACACTGTTTTGCTTACCTTCCACCAATGCATCATCGTCAACATGGACTTGTTCCAGAACACTTTGGTAATTGTTTCCAAACACTTCCCTGGCAGCTTGACTTGATTCTCTCTGTACCCTCTGAGGTATCATCGAGGGAATTTTCGTATCAATATTGAAGATAGAAGTACCTTCGGGAATTTTTCGAGGACTCATATAACGGAAAGCTATGAGGATTTCTAAAATAATTAATGTGTGGTTGTGACAACACACATAGGCTCACTTTTATAATCCTTGAAGCTTCTTCAGTAGAGTTGCCGAGGTTTGCTCACGAACAGCAAGTAACATTCAAGGATTTAAAAGGTATAGAATACATAATTAAAACGTTTACCTTGATCCAATCCTGTACCTCGCTTCGTCCGGAGTACTGTTAGAAATGTAGACGTTAAAACTTAGGATTTGTTGAATTCAGAAAATGCACGTACACTTGTAAAGTGTCAAGTTATTCTCACCGTCTTAGGATTTGTCTGTCGGTTCCATTTAAACAGGTTTTGTCTCGCCCCTGCCATTACGTCTTCTTATAATCACAGCTAAAATTATAATTCACGTCAACAGATCGATAATATAGAAAAAGACACCAAAGAATATTTTTATAGACAGATCAGAAAGACGGATCTTAAACTTTCCGCCATTTTGAATATAACCCATCAAGCGCACTTAGCTAGGGCCCATTCTTCTGGAACTCGACTATAAGTTGACCAAGGGGTACCTGGTAAGGTAGGAGAAGGATGGTCGAGAAGAAAAATTATCTTAGAAGGTAGAAGGTAACTGTCTTTCATAGAAGTCTGTTTAACGAGCTAAAAAGAGTAGCACCGAAAGGGATATGTGCCGGCCGCCAGAGTCGCGAAACGGCCACCAGTGGCCAGAATCGCTAGACGGCCAATAGTGACCAAAATCTCCAAACAGCCTCTAGTGGCCAAAATCGGGAGACAGCCAGTAGTGGACAAAATCCCCAAACGGCCACAAGTGGCCAAAGTCCCCAAACGGCCGCTAGTAGCCAAAATCGCAAAACGGCCACTAGTGAAAAAAATCCCCAAACGGTCGCAAGTGGCCAAAATCGTTAAGCGGCCACTAATGGCCGAATTCGCAAAACGGCCACTAGTAGACAAAATTGCAAAACGGCCACTAGTGGCCAAAATCCCCAAACAACCACTAGTGGTCAAAATCACTAGTGAACAAAGTCCCCAAACGGCCACTAGTACACAAAGTCCCCAAACGGCCACTAGTGGACAAAATCCCCAAAAAGCCACTGATGGAAAAAATCCCAAAACGGCCACTAGTGGACAAAATCCCCAATCAGCCACTAGTCGAAAAAATCCCAAAACGGCCATTAGTAGACAAAATCCCCTAAAAGCCGCTAATGGCTGGAGAATATCCCAAAACGGCCACTAGTGGACAAAATCCCCAAACAGCCACTAGTAGAAAAAATCTCAAAATGGCCACTAGTGGAAAAAATCCTCAAACGGCCACTAGTGGACCAAATCCCCAAACAGCCACTGGTGGAAAAAATCTCAAAACTGCCACTTGTGTGCAAAATCCCCAAACGGCCACTAGTGGACAAAATCCCCAAACTGCCACTAGTGGAAAAAGTCTCAAAACTACCACTTGTGGGTAAAATCCCCAAACTGCCACTAGTGGACAAAATATCCAAACGGCCACTAGTGGACAAAGTCCCCAAACGGCGACTAGTGCAAAAAGTCTCAAAACTGCCACTTGTGAGCAAAATTCCCAAACGGCCACTAGTGGACAAAATTCCCAAACANTAGTGGCCAAAATCCCCAAACAACCACTAGTGGTCAAAATCACTAGTGAACAAAGTCCCCAAACGGCCACTAGTACACAAAGTCCCCAAACGGCCACTAGTGGACAAAATCCCCAAAGGGCCACTAGTGGACAAAATCGCAAAACGGCCACTATTGGACAAAATCGCAAAACGGCCAGTAGTGGACAGAATCCCAAAACGGCCACTAGTAGACAAAAGCCCGAAACGGACAAAATCTTCAAACGGCCACTAGTGGACAAAATCCCCAAACGGCCACTAGTGGAAAAAATCGCAAAAAGGCCACTAGTGGACAAAATCGCAAAACGGCCAGTAATGGACAAAATCGCAAAACGGCCACTAGTAGACAAAATCCCGAAACGGCCACTAGTAGACAAAATCTTCAAACGGCCACTAGTGGACAATATCCCCAAACGGCCACTAGTGGACAAAATCTCCAAACGGCCACTAGTGGACAAAATCGCAAAGCGGCCACTATTGGAAAAAATCGAAAAACTACTACTAGTTGAAAAAATCTACAATCGGCCACTAGTGGAAAAAATCTCAAAACGGCCGGTGGTGGACAAAATTTAAAACGAATACTAGTGGACAAAATCTCTTAACAGTTACTAGTGGACAGAATCTCAAAACGGCAAGGAGTTGACAAAATATCAAAACGGCCACTAGTGGACAAAATCTCAAAACGGCCACTAGTGGACAAAATCCCGAAACGGCCACCAGTGCACAAAATCCCCAAACGGCCACTAGTGGAAAAAATCCCCAAACGGCCACTAGTGGAAAAACCCCCAAACTTCCACTAGTGGAAAAAGTCGGAAAACGGCCACTAGTGGACAAAATCGCAAAGCGGCTACTAGTAGAAAAAAATCCCAAACGGGCACTAGTGGTGAAAATCTCCAAAGAGCCACTAGTGGACAAAATCTGAAGGCGGTCACTAGTGGACAAAATTGCAAAATGGCTATTAGCGGCCGAAATCGAGAAACGGTCACTTGTGGACAAAATCCCCAAACAGCCACTAGTGACCAAAATTGCAAAATAGTCACTGATGGCGAAAACCGCAAAGAGGTCACCTATGGCCAAAATCGCGAAACGGGCATTAGTGGCCAAAATTCCCAAAGGGCCACTAGTAGCCAAAATCGCGAAACGGCCACTAGTGGCCAAAACTGCAAAAGGGCTATAAGTGGTCAAATCGGAAAACGGCCACTAGTGGAAAAAATCCACAAACGGCTACTACTGGTCAAAATCGCGAAACGGGCACTAGTGGCCAAAATCCTAAAACAGCCACCAGTAACAATACAATAAATCGGCCAGCAGTGGCCGAAATCCCTAAAGGGGCCCTAGTGGCCAAATTCCAAAGTCAAATTTTAATTCCAAAGCCAAAGTCGCAAATCTTTTAGACCAATCGAAAGGGAGAAACTGATTGTACTCTAGAGAGATGGGTGAGAGATGATGATATGGAGATTTTTTAAGTTTGCAAGTCGGGATAAAAACCGAAATGGTCTAGGCAAGTGGGAAGTTGAACCCCCCTCCCCCCTTTCTCCAGGAGATCCATGGGGTAATATTATGTCGAGTCTAAGGCTTATTTCCTTTTATTACAGTTACTGGTGCCAGCCTCGCTGCGTTCTTTACGGTTTGCAGAAAGTCTCATGTAGTCTCTATAAAATATCTTCTTTTATTGTTCAAGAACAAAAATATAATAATAAACCTTTGTAAAACATTTTGTTCGTTGATTTTTGAAATATGTTTTCCTTTAAATTTTGTTATAACGTAAATGAAAGACTGAAACGTTTTTCTGACCTATTTGTTTAATCAGGAAAGCAAACATCGAGAATCATAACATTTTATTAATATTGCAATCAAAGTTAGACTTCGTAGTAATAAACAAAAGTGCCAAGGGCATGATCAAGTTTAGCAAAAAAGGAGAAAATGTGAAGTGGAAAAGTGCACCAGATTCCAGTCACTTAATGTCGCACAAGAGAGCCACCCCTCGAAGAATCCAATGATCGGGACTCTGCACAGTCTTGAGCCACAGAGGGGTGATGTAAGTCAAATCAGTTCTCCGTGGTTTCTTGTAAACAGGGCACTGGTACAGACGAGAGTCTTTGGGTGCTGTGGAGTTAACAGCATACACGTGTACCACAGGGAGAAGGGTGGAGAGAACTTTGGGCTGAGGTTCAATTAGTTTACACCCACGTCGGTCCCAGCCGGCACCATCCAGGTACAAACCATATATGTACACACCTTCCTGTTATTAGAGTAACATTTAGCGGTATTAAAACAACGTAGGTCCACAATGCCTCCCTGAAGACGCACATATTAAAGGTCTGTGAATGTATTAGTTTGAGCGCTAGTGAGGGTAAATGTCTCATTCTCTTAACTGTCAACGACGTTGAACACCTTAAATCCACTATCTGCTTTAGTATTCTAATAAGGTAGTAAAGGGAATGGGGGAAAAACATCTCCAAGAAATGTATGCCAGTAGTCTATAGGATATTTGGAGATAAAGGTGGGTCTGCAATGCAATATACTACCGAAACTCACCGATGGAGGGGAATTAATGTCTTCTTTCATTGCTTTGATAACATCATTGTGCAAAACTACAGAGTCCAAGGCCCAACCCTTATGCGCACGCGTGACCTCCTGTCTCATTGCTGTGAGGAAGCCCTGCGGATTGAAGAAACCAGTCATCCAGAACACACTAGGCCGGCCATTGAAAATCCAAGTGGAGAATTGGCTGTTCCTCTCCAGAAACTCTGTAAACCAGAAACCCAGGGTCGATGACTCCCAGGAGACCTAAAGGGGAAGAAAAGACAAACTGTGTCCGGTATCTACTTGATTATTCTTGAAAATGAATCAACCCTTACAATACGGCTACATTCATGAAAATAGTTCAGTCAGACTTGATCCACTGTCTACTTGATTATTCTTGAAAATGAACATGCCCACCTTTTTCCACAGCGCAGGAATTCTAGCGTCGTACATGTTGTCCAATGCGTCACGCAGATTCTAATGTCAGGGAAACAAAATTAGTTCAACCACATTTTGACATCGGAACTTTGATTCGTTAGCTTTTGTTCGAGTTTAATTAGTTTTAGCTTATTTTTTGCCCTTTTTTGTCTCTGGAAAAAATAACGAACATACAGCTCAACTTTAGAATCCAAAATTAACCGTGACATTACCACGCAATTTCTCCGGTAATTTTTGAAACTGATCAGTCATCTTTATAATTTCTATTTACAATTATGGAATTTTCGCATTCCTAAAAAAAGGAATGCTGATTGCGCGATTGCGTTCACTGGCAAATTGTACGGCGTCTTTAAGAAATTTGTTTAACATAAAAAGCTTTCTCAGTACCTCGCTCATAATAATGGTTCCTTCTATAGCCAGCTTTAAGTCAGTCAGGGTCTGCCGTACCAAAGTGATCACTCGCTGCATACGGTCGATCTCTTGTCTCAAAAAGATGTTCATGGAAGCCAGTGCTCCCATTTTCTGTAGTCGCGCTCTAACCTTCACACAAACAAAGAGTGTCAAAGTGGTTTGTCTTGTACCTCATGGAAAACAACTCAAAGTTTCATTGCGAGATAACAAATTTTCTTACCTCGTGTGGTACATAATCATTTGGAAGTTTTTCCAGCATGTCATCTGCTTGTCTGGTGACTACACTCTCACGAGTCTCCCCAGATCCTCCCCCTGAGTCTTTTGGCTGGATGCTCATGATGGTGTCCAGAACTTCTTTAGCTGTGTTACTCTGGTATCTGAAAGTTAAGTGCCCAAAATCAGACACTAGTGTCTAAAATCAGACACCAGTATCTATAATTGGACACTGGTATTCAAAATCGGACGCTTATATCCAAAATCGAA